TCACTCCTTGCCACACAAAAGTATTTAAGAAACTTGCAACAGAGAAAACCAAGTCAGAAAACGCAAACGAAACGGAGTTGGAAGTTTGGAAAAACTTGCATTTGGTTTTTGTTTCTTTTTTTTTTTTGGAGTCGTTTTGGTTTTTGGTTTCCCATCGCACTCACCTACTCTCTCTCTTCCTCTCTCTCTCTGTGTAGTCCTTTTTATCCTTTGTCCTTTGTCGATGGTGCCTGGCACGCGCTGACACTTTTACTTTGTGGCAGGACCAAGAAGGCGGCAACTGGTGACTGGTGACTGGTAACTGGCAACTTGCAACCAGCAACTACCAACTTGCAACATGCGACAAAAGAAGATTAAAAGGATGAGACCAGGAAGAAGGACGAAGGACGAGAGAACAACTAGTGGGTGTCATCTGGTATTCAGTTTGATTTACTCCTAGAAAAGTCTATTCTAGAAAAGTTAATTTCTTCATTACCTTGATTTCGGGCCATATATGTTTTGGGGATTTTTTAAGATTTTATAAAACAGAAATGCAGTAATTTTCTGCTTGCATACTTTTAGGCTGAAAAAGCGTCTATAATATTTTTGTAACATTTCTGGGAGGCCAAGCCCCCCTCTTGTACTGTCCTGGGAAATGATAAATTTATTTAATTTGCCATAAATTGCCAAAGTAACTAAGACGACGCACGCAATGACAACGCAGTGGGCACCCTCCCTCGGAAGAGGGGGGGTTAAGATATGTCTTACAGCAAAAGTTTATGCAAAACAAGCCACAAAAATTAACGTTTGTCACATTGCGCCCGGAATGCGACAAATCAGTGGAAAAACTTTAACCCGCAGACAGGATGGGCCGGTAGACAAGGAGGCGTGCCGGGCACACATGCCAACGTCAAACAATTTCATCGATTCCGCAGGTATTTTTTTTCCAAACCCCCCCCTTTCCGTTTGTTGTATTTTTTTTTTTTTTTTTTTTGGCCAACAAGTTGTCGACGCTTTTGCTCAATTTTCTGGCCAACTTGGCTTTTGTTTTGTGAGATTATTTATGCGACATTTTCATTGTGTGTTTACGGTTTTTGCGAAATGAATAAGTGAAATGTGGAATAGATTGGTGAAGCGTCGGAAAAATGGGGTGGTCCGGGTTGGGCAAAAAAAAAAAAATTAAGAGGGTGGAGAGGAGGAGGGTTCTAGTGGGCAAAGAAGGGCGCTGCTTGAGCTTGAGCAAACAAAGTCACATGCAAAGGCGCACTTAAAACTGCAGACGCCACATAATTGTCGCCCCCTGCAGCATAGAGACCTTGTGCACTGAAAAAAATTGCTTAAGAATTTATGAAAATTATTCTAAAATATTATTAATATAATTTACTATTTATGCTTTTGGTTTAAAACTGATATTTATGATTATAAAGACAATAATTGAATCATAAAAATACGATTTTACGTTTATTGTTGCTTATAATTCTCAGTCAGGAATTCCTTGAGATAAAAACTTGAGTTACTTAAAGATTTTTTAAAGATTTTCAAAGAAAATGAGAAATAAACATTTTAAGAAATATTTAACCACAATTTCCTACTTTAAAGAAATTATTTTACTGTTTTAGGGCTTAGAATTCCTAACCAGATATGCTGTGAGACAAAAATCTTAAAAAAATATCAACATTTTTGTTTAAAAATTTTTAAAAATTCTTACCAAACAGCAGCTTTTTCACATATATTTCCTTTATAATTCCCAATTAGGAATTCTGTTAAACAAAAACTACGAAAATAAGCTTATTTTCTTTGTTGGAGTGGAAAAAAAAGGAAAAATAAATATTTTAAAGATTATTTAACAAAGATTCTTAGTACAAAACCAAGATTTTAAATAATTTGGCTTTATAATTCCCAACTAGTAAGTCTGTGAGACAACTGAAACAAAAAAAAAAAGATTTCCGATTCAAAAATTCAACAAAAATTGAAATAAAATATTTTCAAGGCCTTTACTAGATCTTAGGCCCTTCAAATACCAACCATTAAAAAAAGTTCAAACCTTAGCCAACTTTTCTCTCAGTGCCTGCACTGACAACTGTCACTGGTTTTTGACACGGTTACCCTGTCTTTCTTCAACGTCGCATCCGAAGTTGCAACCAAAACTAAACACTCTGGGGCACAACCTTTATGACCTCCGACCCCGCTGCATTAACCCCCATGATGCCCATGCCCATGCCCAGACCAGCCAAGCTAATGACTCATTAAATAACGCGCTGCAGCAAGCGGTTAAGGGTCGATCGGATGGGTCTATAGGGGATATATACATACATATATATAGTATTATAGTATGAGTATGAGTACGAGTATGTGTATGTGCATATTCATGAGCTTCGTGTTAAGCTGCCATTTTGACGTCGACTGTTGCAAGTTGGCAGTTGCCAGTTGCCAGTTGCCGGTTAGTAGAGTAGTGTTTGCATAGCCGAAAAAAAGCCGAACAGGGAGCACTGAACAGCACATGAATATGAATATGAATCTGAATATGAATCAAGCTATCAATCAAGCCAGACTCAGTGTCTCTGCCACTTGACATGCATTTTGGAAAAGTGGGGGGGGGTTGTGGATGGTGGCCTGTTTTTGGGAACACTAATAACTAAACGAATATGATGATGAATATGATCATGAATGATGGTTGTTAGACATTTGATGGCGTTGGGATTGATTTAAGCAAACAACTTAAATTGCAAGTGTTTTTTTTTTTTTTTGAAACATAAAGAAACATAAACTATAATTAACCACAGATGTCTGGCTCATTTCCGAGCACTAATATCCCATTTACAAGTAATTAAGCATATGAGACATCACGTATACGCCATGTAGGCTAGATCTCGATCGAAATCAGAGGGGGAAAAGCAGGAAATAAGGACATTTCCCTTACCTAGAGAGGGCTAGAACCCTTTTGCAACGGAAATCGATTAGTCATTGACAGTAAAAGCGAAATGAATGTTTATCGCTGATAGTTTTCGTAATTAAGTGGAAGGTTAAGGTAATAACGCTTTTGCATGGCAATAGTCTTGTTTATTTAACTCTTGGCTTTAAGCTTACTATGTATATACCGACTTTAAGCCAAGAAAGCACTTAACTGAAAGCGAGTTAATGATTCGACCCCCCCATTGATGAGATAAACTCAATGAAGATGAAGCGCCCTTGGCTTGGCGCTAACGAGCAATAATCAAATCAAAAAACACTTTTTATTCTTTCGTCGCCAAATTGCTCTTAAACGACAAGCTACCAGAACAACAACTCATCTGAATTTTTATACAATTTTGTTGCCATCTTGTTTGGCGGTAAAGTGAAAGAAATTTTTAGCTTAACCCCACATTACACGGAGATAGACCATACCTACCACCCACATCCACACCTCCACCCACACCCACTCTCTCTTGAAAACCTCAAACCCATTTTCCATTTTCCATCCATCGCTTAACTTGTTTGTTTGTGGCTTTTTGCGTTTTCCATGCCCCATGTGCTGCTGCTGCGGCAGTGGCGGTGGCGGTGGCGCCCCATGTATCAATTATCGGCTCGAATTTTTTGGCTTTCCTTTCGACTCGACCCGAGAGAGTCTTCCCAAGGTTTTTGTTTTCCAAATACCTGCATTGAGTTTTCTCTGCTTTTTTTTTTTGCGCTTTAAGTTCAAGTGCAAGTCACTGGGAGATTCCAGTTTCAAGGCGTTAAAAATACGACACTCGGACGTGAGGCAAGTAGATGCAACAAGCTGCCACATCGGGTTGAAAGAAAGAAACCTTTAAAAAAAAAGAAACATGAAGAAAACTTAAGCCTCGACTATCCTAATTCAATTTGCACCTTCATCAAACCCAGAACTTGTTTTCCATTCTTGGGGATTATAATTTTTTTTTTGTGTTTCTTCTCAGCAGCTTGTTTGCCGTCAAAAGGATTAGGATTCACACGTCTGGGCCGAAAATAATTGGAGCCCAGCAACCTTTTGGAATTCGGAAGCCGAATCCAAGCCCTTCCTCCTGTCTGTAACTATTATTTTGAATCTTTAATGTCAATAAGCGAGGAGCAGCCGTAGAAACAACAATCATATTTGCAAATTGTCTTGAGGCGCCTTTGCCGTGTCCGTGTGTCCGTCTGTCCGCCTGTCCTCCTGTCCGCAATGAAATTGTCAGGTATTCGTGTTGAAAATTGCCGAAAAAGGCGAAAACTTTGGCGATTTGTGTATTTGGAAGGGTAAAGCCTTAAGTTTTCACTGCAGTTTCGTGGCATTTAACTTTTCTACCTTTTCCCGAAATGACAAATTGTTGACTGTTTGGAATGGGGGGGGGTCTGGGGTTAACAATTATGTAATACTCTGGTGTTTTTTTTTTTTTTTTGAAAGATATAACTTTGTAGGGGTAAAGAAATTCCGCTAATTGTTTGACTCCCGAATTGGCTTTTACTTTAAGCTGCTCTGATTACAGCTGCCACCCACCTCCCTGCTGGGTGGGTGACTTTTCTTTGCTTTTAATTAGCCTCTGCTCGCGGCTCTTCTGAAAATAAAAAACACTTTGTTATCTATCCCTTGTGTACTTGTTTCTTGTAATCAAATCCCTCTCTTCTTGTGTCACTTTCTTGTTGTGCGCCAAAAAAAAAAACAAAATTATCCAAATATATTTTGTAGAAATTTCACAGCCAAAAGCTGTATGAAATATTAAGCGAAGAGAGTCCGGGAGTCCAGCGGAGGGGTTCAACAAAAAAAGGGTTCAAAAGCCATCCAAACATGCACAGGAAACTGTGGCTAACGATGACGTCGGAGGAGGAGGTGGATGGGTTTTTCGGGATTCTCACACACACACACACAACAAACACCTAACAAACTTTTGCTTTCAAGTTGCTGGTGGGGGATGGGTAGCGGATGTGCTTGTTAAACTGCATCCGGTGTTGTCATCTAATTGCAGGCCCATCAACAACTCCTGTCCTCTGTCACACCAAGGTGGATATCTAAAAATGTATTCCATTCCTTTTTTTTTTATTTTCAGAATGTGCCTCGAACGAGTTCAGATGCAACAACGGCCAGTGCATCGATGAGAGGAGACGTTGCGACTACAAACAGGACTGTCCCGATGGCGAGGACGAGAGCGAAGATTGCCGTAAGTGACGAACTACACATATCCTTGATTATTTTGACTGAATTCTAGTAGAGAACCTAGAAGATTAGACAGTGCTAATACCTAGTATTATAGACATATAGCTATGCTTAATCTAGACACTTAAGTGGCTTACTTAGTGATTAAGACTTAGATGTAAGAAGAGGGTGTTACCAAAAACCGAAAAGTGATATCCCATAGACTAACCACATTTTTTTCTCTATATATCTCTTGTTTAACCCCAACCATGCTAACCCGAACAACAACAACCACAACATCTACCAAATACCAACTACCAACTAAAAAAATAATCAACAACTAACTTAAAACCAAATACTAACAGCCACCGCATGCAGTGCTATGGAGTATCAGTGTAGTGACGGTACGCGCTGCATTAGTGTTAGTCAGACCTGCGATGGTCACATAGACTGCAGCGGAGGCGACGACGAGGAGCACTGCGACGGAAGTGAGTAACGTTCCATACATCCATCCCATCTCATCCACCCATCTCTAAAGCTTTAGAACTATCGAAAAAATCGATAGTTTTATGCTCTTACCAGAAAGTAACTATCTATTTCTTTGCCTTTTAAAAATAATGCTGCTTTTGTGGTACAGTTGTGCCCAAGCTACGATACTCATGCCCCAAGGGCAAGTTCACCTGCCGTGACCTAAGCTGTATATCGATAGTCCATCGCTGTGATGGTCGAGCCGATTGTCCGCACGATCGATCCGACGAGGAGGGCTGTCGTAGGTGTTCGATAATCAGCAATCGTCCACCTCTATCTTAACTTTTTCTTTTTTTTTAATTTTGCTTCTCTTATTGGGGAATGCAGCCTGTCTGTACGACAAATGGCAATGCGACGATGGCACTTGTATTGCCAAGGAACTGCTCTGCAATGGCAACATCGATTGTCCCGAGGACATATCCGATGAACGCTATTGCGATGGTGAGTAGATTCTTTGTTGCTCTCTAGTTGCTCTCTCCTCCAAGTTCAAAGGTAAGTGAGTAGAAAGTATATCATTGGATCATCACATCATGCTCGAATAAAAATTATCATGAAAAGACTAACAAAACGCGTGCTATCGATAAATATCGATCGATCGTCGTCGCCAGGTGGCGATATCTACGATGGGCAGTGTCGCAGCAATGACTTTCAGTGCCACTCTGGCGAGTGTATACCGATGCGTCAGGTGTGCGATAACATTTACGATTGCAACGATAACAGCGATGAATTGGCCTGCGGTAAGCGCGCTACGTGTTTCGATAGTCCAAAATGTTTCGATTGGTTTTTTTTGTCTCTTTCTATTGTATCTTTTGCTTTTTTTTCGCTTTTTCTTCGTGGGTAACTAAATGTATTAATTGGTGTTTGGTGTCTACTCTGTGTCCTTTTCTTGAAATCTCCCTGCCCTACTCTCTTTCTCTCTCTTTTTTTTTCTCTGCCTGTGCCGTTATTTCCTGTTATCGCTTTGTGTGCGATAGCCATCTATCGAAAAAAAACCGTGTTATATGTGTTTGGTAAAAAATTGATTTATTTAAATTTTATTTTTAACTCGATGAATTTTTATTTTCTTTTTCCCCACCATCCCCCCAAACAAACAAAAAAATCCCCCTGGTTGTGGTTATCGAATGTTTAAACCAAAATTAATCGATTAACTGCACGTCAACCCGTCTTGGAAACGATTATCCGGAACTACCCAACCACCACAACTACAACCATGATGATGCTCTACGGCCGAACGATAAAAAAAAAAACTAAACCCAAAATTGCATGTATTATACAAAAAAAAAAACAAAAAAAAACTATTACTACTATTTTTAACACCCCGACCAAATGGTATGCATGTGGTACCTCTTGTATCGTCCTGTCCTGTGTCAATATTGTATAACGAACACCAGCCCAATCTAGTGAAGAAGATCGGGTTGGTATTCCAATCGGTCGTCCGCCGTCCAGCTGGATCCACGAGGAGGACGAGGGCGAGTACATTCTGCAAAATAGCTACCACAACGCCAATGCCAAGAATCCCTGTCAGGCGAATCAGTTCCGTTGCACCACCACGAACGTGTGCATTCCATTGCATCTGCGTTGCGACAAATCCTATCACTGCAACGATCTGAGCGATGAGCTCGGCTGTGATCAGTATGTGCGTCCGGTGTCCACTCGCCGACCGCCAAAGGTCACCACCCTCTCGCCCTGGGACGAGCCCGGTGCGTTGAATCAACGAACCACCACAACCACCACCACCACCACCTGGGCCCCGCCAAGGACGACAACGACAACAACAACGGATGCACCACCGAGGCGACCGGCGGCGACCCAACCATCGTATCCATCTATCGAAACCACAACGACTAACCCATTAACAACAGTTGGCGTAAAGAGTAGGTGTCCTTTTGAGCGAATGCCAAAAAAAAGTGTAGCATACATTCCAGGGTAAAGGGTAAAAAAATCATAAATGCTTGCTAGTTACCAGAAGGTAATACAAATTTGAAAGTTAAAGACTAGCAAGCATAAGTGATTACCAGGTAATCGGGTAATTGGATAACCTCCATATATAGGTTTAAGTTACGTTATGGGGTATTTTTGTAGAAAGCGGAAGTGCATGCCATGTTTGAAACACTGAAACCTACTTTAGTTATAACCATCCAGACCATCCCCGAAGCTAGTTAGCTTAGAACTTAATTTATATTCATTTTTTTTAATTGATATAACCCCTCCGAAACGAGTCACTTGTACATACAAACATTGCTTATATGCCCTTTCTATTTTTCTCTCTTTTTGTTTCGTTCTATTTTTATGGCTTGTTTTTTTTTTTTATTTTTGAAACTATCATGTACCGATTATGTATATATTGTTTTGTTGTATCCACCTATCATCACACCACCTACAAACCAACAACTACAATACGAAACAACAACAACATATACATACCACCCATTTAGACAACTCATCATCATCATCCTCATCGTCGTCATCGTTGGGGGGTGGAGGAATCTGCCTCGAAAACACTGAATTCGCGTGCCACAATCACGACTGCATTCCGATTGAGAGCGTCTGCGACGGTATCCCCGATTGTGACCACAACGAAGACGAGGACTATGAGCTATGCAACTGCAGTGGCGATATGGTGAGACCTCAGGCAGCACCACCTACAGAGTCCAAAAAAAAAACAAAAAAAAAGTGCTTTTTAGATTCTATTCGATTTCAATTAGCTTTAGCTTTAAATTCTATCGATATGTTATCGAAACCTAAAAAGCACTTTAGTTCCTCCTACCACACACCCTACCTCATTCACACACCTGGCGCACCTGTACAAAAAAAAAACCAACACACATTTTCATGCTTTCCCTTAGTTCAAATGCCTGCGAGGGGGACGTTGCATTGAAAAGGAGAAAGTTTGCGATGGCAAATCGCATTGCCTCGACGGCAGTGACGAAAGTGCATGCCGTAAGTACCATCTCTATCTATCGATCACACACTCTCCTCCCTCGATCACTGCTCTCTACATACACAACTATATATAACACAAGCTCTTTGGTCAAATTTATTAAAACTTAGCTTTAAGTTGTGAGTTTGAGTTCCAAAAACCTAACCTAGATTCGTAGGTAGCCTTTGCTAATTGGTTGAACTGCTAACAGCTAGTGCCTTATCCTCGAAACCTCCTTAATCCTGCCCCCAGGCCCCCCCACCCATTTCTATCAACTTTTGTTGCTAACTTTACTTTCTATTTTGTTCTCTCTCTGCGCCCGATCCCGTATCAAAAAAAAAAACCAATACAATCTATAATCCTGTAATACCCGATACTCTGACTCTGAATCCCCGCCTCCGACTCCGATTCTGATCCCAAATCCTGTCAACCAGCTGGCCATGGCAGGTTCAATAAGAGCCGTCTGGGGGTTGAGTGTATGAAACATCAGACCCAGTGCGGCGATGGCAGCTGCATCGAGGGCTACAAGTACTGCAATGGAATTGTCGACTGCGCCGACGGCGCCGACGAAGATAACTGCCCCACCGACAACTACGTAGATTATGGTACCGCACCCAATCCATTCTATACCACCTACAATGTTCATCTATAGCTCTCTGTTTGGGATTCTAGTTGAGCTTTAATTGTTTTATTGAAAATACTTTGGTCTGGTCACTCTAATTTACAGAGAAAAGAGTTGCCAGATCATCTTAGAATTCAGAGCTTTAAAGTCTTGACTATAATTCCTATCGCAAGTTGATCTATAGCTTGAACTATCTCTCTCAATCTCCTGATCATTTATCTTATATTTTTCCAACTTTTCATACACCAAACACACACCCACACTCACACACACACACACACACACATACACACAAAATTCACACCCACACAGACCCCGACCCGGACAACAATCCGCTGAATGAATGCGATATACTTCAGTTTGAATGCGACTACGGTCGTTGCCTGCCAATTGAGAAGCAATGCGATGGCAAATTGGACTGTGACGATGAAACGGACGAGCGTGATTGTCCCGCCTATACAGGTAAAGACCCCGATCGAAACGGGCCTAACCCCCCAGGATCCAGGTGCTAACCTCAATCAGTCGCGCGATGACAACCCTATATACATACAATCAGTCCATCTCCAAAACATCTATCCACCTATCGCTCACCCAAACTCTCACCTACTACTTCTCGCCCACATATATCATTCCACAGACCATTGTCTAAAGAACGAGTTCGAATGCGACGATTACTGCCTGCCACGCGAACATCTGTGTAACGGTATTTCCGATTGCCGCGACGGCAGAGACGAGCGCGACTGTCACTTTTGCCGCGACGATGCCTATCTGTAAGCCATTTACCATCCATAAGTCACCTAACCCATGAACCCATTTTATCATAAATTCTAACCCACCTATCGATATTTGTTTAAAACTATCGATATAATCGATAACCCTCTAAACACCCAACTCCCACTCAAATCCTTTCGTATCATAATCATCTTCTCTCCTCTTCCATGTCCCTCAATACACAACTACATCTACATCCAACACATCACCACCACCACCACAACCACAACAATCAACACAACCACCACCAAAAACAACAACTTTTAAAACATTTCACGTGCCCATCGCTAACCGATATTCATCGCCGTAATCCCGACCAGTTGCAACACGGGCGAGTGTGTGGCAAGCAATCAGCGCTGCGACGGCACTGCCGACTGCGCCGACGGCAGCGACGAGCGTCACTGCGGTAAGATCCATCCAACCACTAAACCCACCCCCCCAACCGAAACCTCCGCGCCCCCCCAAAAACCCCCACCCATTTTGGTAGTTTTGATGCTTTGCTTTTGGGTCGCTTGATTTTGGAAATATTTTTTTAGTAGCAGTCACTTCCGCTGGCGTAGACTTTGATCATCAGTTCTCTTGATTATATTGATTGCAAAAATATTACTATTTATTGTGATTTCAAGATAAGAAATACTGTCCGATACATACGATAGTCTGCGATGGTAATTGCGTCGATAGGAAGCTGCGATGCGATGGCAAGCGCGATTGTCGCGATGGCAACGATGAACTCTATTGTCCGGGTAAACCAAACCAAACCACACCATCGATCTATCGTCCTATAGTCTCTTCCATAGTGGATAGTGTGATCTATCTTTTCCAACTAGATCTATTCCAAATTCGAAATCCTTTCAGATATTTTCTTGATCTTTTCCCATCTCTAATTTCCCTAACCCTACTTTTCCAACAGTGTGCTTGTGCTAATTAACTGCCGTGCATTCGTTCGTTGATCGTTTGTTTTGTCTTGTCGTTCCATTTGATTGTTAATCCACACATTACCACACACGACCATCACATCACATCACATGGAAATACAGTGAACACTGCCCCACAACCGACAACAACACAACCAATACCACCAATATACCCAATACCGAGACGTTGCCAGCCATATGAATGGCAATGCGAAAATCTCGAGTGCATCGATTCCAGGTTATACTGCAATGATATCGAAGATTGCACTGATGGATCCGATGAGATCTGCCTGAGCAATGGTAAATTATATTGTAAAGGATAACTGTATAACCCAATAATATCATTTATCATAAGTTAAGATATAGTACGTAAGTGTCTCCCCAATTGGATGCAGGTTGGTATAGTCCATAAGTTCCATCAAAAATAATGCTTAAGCTCAAGAATGCCAAGCAGCCTTTTACATTCAGCTTTCTTGTCTCTCTTTCTTGCCACATCTGTAAAAAAAAAAACAATATACACACAAAACATACAACCACGCATCCCACAACCAAAACACACCATCAATGCATAATGCCATGACCTTGCTATATATCGGATATATATAGCCACCAATGTACTAACACCCAGCGATTGCACGGCCGATCAGTTCTACTGCGATGCTTCGTGTCTGAATCGATCCGCCAGATGCAATGGGCATATCGACTGCTCGGATCACAGTGACGAAATGGACTGCCCGTCCCACTCGTATCCGAGATCGGGTTCGGGTTCGGGATCGGATTTGGGAGGACTGCCATGTCCGCAGCACAAGTGCCCCAGCGGCAGGTGTTACTCGGAGAGTGAACGCTGCGATCGTCGGAATCACTGCGAGGATGGTTCCGATGAGGCCAACTGTAAGTCTTTCGTCACCAATACTCATACCATGGGAAGGATGTTTAATTGCGGGAAAGGATATAATTTTTTGGAAGAATACTCTTCTCTTCTCTGTTTCTTTTTTTTTTGGTTTTTTTTTTGGAAGCACTTTTCAGCTACTCTTGCCACACTTGAGTGTCGTTTGTACTTATACAAATAATTGTATTCGTAATGCTTTTTTCATTTGCTAATACTTTCTCTTCTCACCTTTCTCTCTTTCTCTCTCTCTCACCGCTCCTTTCACTTTGCTTTCATTATGCAATCAATTTGATTTTTTTTCTGTGCACCCACACTTATCCATATTAAAAAAAATATCCATCATACCACCCCTTGAAAACATTAAATACTGGTGATATATATAGGTACTGGCATCCAGTGCAAGGATCACGAGTTCCTCTGCTTTGATTTCCAGTTCTGCATTAATACCACTCAGCACTGTGATGGATACTACGACTGTCGTGACTTTTCCGATGAGCAGAATTGCATTGGTTAATAAACAGCTTAGTTTAATTTTTTTATTATTTTTTTAGCAGCTTTAGATCTAGATATCTAGACTATTGGTATATTATAATGATTTTTTTTTCGTAACATATCTGCATGCTTTAAATATAAAAGGCACTGTTTTTGGTTATCCTATAGAGCGAAAATTATAATCCTTTGTACTTCCAGATGTTGTAGCAGTTTTCGTATCTCTACAAGTTCATATTTTAATGAGTTCGGTTTGCTATTTTAACCCTAGGTTGCGCTCCCAACCAATTCCGTTGCCAAAACGGTGACTGTGTGCCCGATCATTCCACCTGCGATGGCATTACCCAATGCCGTGACGGATCCGATGAACTCAACTGCGGCGCCTCCCACGAATGCCTGCCCAGCCAGTTCCGCTGCAACAATGGTCAGTGCGTCAGCTTGACCGCCCGCTGCAATGGACGCACCGATTGCATGGACAGCTCCGATGAATACAATTGTCGTAAGTTTGGGTTATAAAGAAATGCTTATAGGAAGGGCTTTAAATTGGGAGGAAAGTGAACCATAAAAAAGAGTGTTCATTATGAGAAGTGAACTCAGAGGGTTCATTTTAAACAAGGGTTCATTTTGCTTTGTTCTTTAAGCTTAGAGCTTACTTTTTGAAGAAAGTGTTCATCTGCAAAATGAACACTCATCTGCTGAAGTGTTCATTATTCATAGCTATTCATTAGAAGTGAACTCAAAGTGTTTATTTTAGACTTGAGTTCCTATTTGGTATTCATTTAGCAAAGGTATTCATTTAGAAGCTTACTTTCTATGAATAGAAGTCTTCATTTTGCAAACCTGTTCATTTTTCAAAGCTATTCATTATGATAAGTAGACTCGAAGTGTTCATTTTAGACTTGAGTTCATTTATCAAAGGTATTCATTTTTCGTAGCTATTCACCCTGCCAAGTTTTAAATTTTTTTTAAGAAACTTAATGTTCACTTTTCTGATTTGCTTTGAACTTTGAACCTCTTGATAAACCACTCCCCTGATCTATGTAACCATCATCATATCATCATTTGCTCGCTTATGTATATGCCACATATATAAGGTTATCATCCAGCGCCAACGAGTAGCCCCACCATCATCACCACTCTAACCACAACGACTGTGGGAACGACTAGTACCACCCCGGCACCACCGTTGCGGATCATCTGCCCGCCCACGGCGTTCAGGTGCGACAATGGGCCCTGCATATCCTTGGGGCTGCGCTGTAATGGACGAATCGACTGTCCTTACGACAGCAGCGATGAGACCGACTGCGGTCAGTCAGTTAGCAACGAAATCGATCGTAAGTGGCCCAGCGACCCAACGTGCCACAAAACCAAAAAAAAAAGAACAAAACATAACCGTCTACCACACCGTTTGGCTTTTCTTCCCCCCCAGAAGTAGTTACTAAAACCGAGAGAAACTAAGGGCTATGGCTGACCAACACATCTCTTTAAGTTTTAGTTGAAATCACCTTATTAATAAATCATATGATATTTTTTACAAGATTACTAATATACTTGAATTATTCCATCATCAGCTGCTGAACCCAGTCCGGGACGCGGATCCAACAAACTGAACCTGAAGACCTATCCCGACAGCCAGATCATCAAGGAGAGTAAGTATGCCAGACTAATCCATACAACTTATGCTTTTCCAATTCCACAAAAGAAAGTACTACAACCAGAAATCGAGATTTTGTTCAGTAACATTCTGTTGATATATACAAATTTTTGAAATACTTTTTGTTTGGAAAATCCTAATTGCCGTTCTCTGTTCTCGTTAATGCTTAACCCAACCAATCAAAATCAAACCCAATTCTATATAAAATATAAATAAACCCAGGATATATTAGGGAGGGTAAGTTGGCCTAACAACACTCACTTTATGCATATGTAGTAGAGGATACTCCTCGACCAGCACCTGGACAGAATACCAATTGCAACAGCAAGTCCCCAGCACATCGAAAACTGCACGAACCACAGCAACGATCGATTGGCTCGGAGTGGAGTTGTACATTACGTCGAAATTCAAATCACCCTATCCCCTCCACTCTCGCAGTAATCTACTCAAGAGTTTTGCATTTAGCCTCCTTGTAAAGCCTATAGAACCCGTTTCCCCCGATATCCCTAATTGCTCGCCTTGACTTTGCTCCTCCTTTCAATCGTTATCCTAATGGCATTTTGTGTGAATCGCACAGGTCGCGAGGTCATCTTCCGTTGCCGAGATGAGGGTCCTGCCCGCGCCAAGGTCAAGTGGTCTCGTCCCGGCGGACGCCCTCTGCCTCCTGGCTTCACCGATCGCAATGGACGTCTGGAGATTCCCAATATTCGAGTGAGTACAAACTTTTGAAACTAAAAAACTTATCGTAAAATATTTTAGAAAATAGAAAGGGAATTATTTTTAAAGTAAAATCGTGGAGACATTGCCTAGAAATCGTTCGAGGTTTTCCTCTCAAGGATCGGGTCAAAATTGACCAAGATATAGCCTTCCCAAGGGGTCCAAAGTCACTCCTCACGGTTTTCCTCATTTTTCAAGGGGGTCCATCAGAAAAATTCGAAAAAATCGCATGGAAAATTATATTTTTAGATTTTAATGCAGGATTGAGGAGAATCCTTCCAGAAATCGTTTGAGGTATTTGTCTCAAGGATTGGGTGCAAATTGACCAAGATATGGCCTTCCCAAGGTCTAAAACGCTGATCCACTTCGTACTTTTATCATTATCTTATATTCCTTCTATTATATTACTAACCATTTGCTTCTTATTCTTCTATTCTCAGGTGGAGGACTCTGGCACCTATGTCTGTGAGGCTGTCGGCTACGCCAGCTACATCCCCGGCCAGCGGGTCACTGTCGACCTGAACGTTGAACGATGTAAGTATCACCTCAAGCCCCAAGTGGGTAGAAAATCGGGGGCTTCCACTTAATCGGGGGGGACCTTTAATCGTTGCAAGCAGCCTGGGGCGTACACAAGTACGAGGAGGTGCGCTCGAATCGAATTCGCTATGGCACAGTGCCCCACATCGATCTCGAGTTCTTCGGTCTAGGTAGGATTTATAGTCCATTGTGATCCTTTGTGATCTTGACTTTGGGTTTATTTTTAAAAATAATCAATATCCTCTACTTTACCCCCCAAACCCATGCCGCTTTGGCTCAATGGCGTGGTAAGATTGGTGACAAAGTCCGTGTCCATCACAATACTAATATATATATTTCTGATCATTGACAGACAACACCGATCTGTTCGCCCGGCCATCCTCAGCTTGCTCGGAGTACCAGGCCACCTGCATGAACGGCGAGTGCATCGACAAGACCGGCATCTGTGATGGAACCCCCGACTGCTCCGATGGATCCGACGAGCAGAGCTGCAGTCATGGCCGCAAGTGCCAGCCGAACCAGTTCATGTGCGCCAACTCCAAGTGCGTGGACCGTACCTGGCGCTGTGACGGTGAGAACGATTGCGGCGACAACTCCGATGAGGCTTCCTGCGACCCGGAGCCCAGTGGCGCCCCCTGCCGATACAACGAGTTTGGCTGCCGAAGCGGACACTGCATCCCCAAGAGCTTCCAGTGTGACGATGTCAACGATTGTCTGGACGGTACCGATGAGATTGGATGCGGTAAGTACCTCTTTCTTGGACCAGTGACCAGGGTCCTTCAATAATCCTGTAATCCCCGTTTAGCTGCTCCCAATCCCATCCGCCCGCCGCCACCATTGAAATCCCTGCTGGAGGGCGAGTCCCTGGACCTGACCTGCGTGGCCACCGGCAACCCCACCCCGACCATCGTGTGGCGCCTCAACTGGGGCCATGTGCCCGAGAAGTGTGAGTCCAAGAGCGTGGGTGGCACTGGAACCCTCCACTGCCCGGATATGCGGCCCAGCGAGAGCGGCGCCTACTCCTGCGAGATCATCAACACCCGCGGCACCCACTTCGTGACTCCGGACACGATCGTCACCGTGAACCCCGTCCGCCACGACGTCTGCAAGAACGGATTCTTCAACATGCTGGCCCGCAGCGCCGATGAGTGCGTCAAGTGCTTCTGCTTCGGCGTGGCCGAGTCCTGCGACAGCGCCAACCTCTTCACCTACGCCATCCAGCCGCCGATCCTCTCCCACCAGGTGGTCAGCGTGGAGCTGAGCCCCTACCGCGAGATCGTGATCAACGAGGCCACTGGCCAGGATCTGGTCACCATGCACCACGGCATCCAGTTCCGTGCCTCGAACGTTCAGTTCGGCGGCCGGGAAACCCCCTACCTGGCCCTGCCCACCGAGTACATGGGCAACCAGCTGAAGTCCTACGGCGGTAACCTGCGCTACGAGGTGAGCTACATGGGCCACGGCAACCCTGTCTCCGGCCCGGATGTGATCATCACCGGAAACCGCTACACCCTGACCCATCGCGTCCACACCAGCGTCGGCCAGAGCAACAAGATCAGCATTCCCTTCCTGCCCGGCGGCTGGCAGAAACCGGACGGACGCCGTGCCACCCGCGAGGAGATCATGATGGTGCTGGCCAACGTGGACAACATCCTGATCCGTCTCGGCTACCTGGACAGCACCGCCCGCGAGGTGGAGCTGATCAACATCGTTCTGGACTCCGCCGGCACCGCCGATAAGGGCCTGGGCAGTGTCGCCCTGGTGGAGAAGTGCGCCTGCCCGCCTGGCTATGTCGGCGACTCTTGCGAATCCTGTGCTCCGGGCTATACCCGTCAGCCGGGTGGCTCCTGGCTGGGACACTGTGTGCCCTTCACCCCCGAACCCTGCCCGGCCGGTACCTACGGCGATCCGCGACGCGGCATTGCCTGCCGCGAGTGCCCCTGCCCCCAGAGTGGCAGCAACAACTACGCCAGCGGCTGCCAGCAGCGACCGGACGGAGACGTCCTCTGCAACTGCCACGAGGGATACACGGGACGCCGGTGCGAGAGCTGTGCCGCCGGCTACCAGGGTAACCCCCTCATAGGTGATCCCTGCCGCAAGATTCCGGAAACGTCGTGCAACATGGATGGCACCTACAAGATCATGGCCGACGGACGGTGCCAGTGCAAGGACAAGGTCGTGGGCGAGCACTGCGACTCCTGTGCGGCCAACAGCTTCCACCTGAACTCCTTCACCTACGGCGGCTGCATCGACTGCTTCTGCAGCGGCCTGAACGTGGACTGTGGCAGCAGCACCTGGTCGCGTGACCAGGTGACCAGCACCTTCGGTCGCTCCCGCGTGGATCATGGCTTCCAGCTGGTGCGCGGCTATACCGGACGCGAGAACATCAACGCCCTGAGGCTGAACGACGTCACGCCGGAGGGCCTGCGATTCAGCGGATCGGCGGACAACAGTGGCGACACCCTCTACTGGAGCCTGCCGGCCGGATTCCTGGGCAACAAACTGACGGCCTATGGCGGTAAACTGAGCTACACCCTCAGCTACAGCCCCCTGCCCGGCGGCATTATGTCGCGCAACAGTGCTCCCGACGTGGTGATCAGGAGTGGCGAGGACATGACCCTCATCCACTACCGCAAGTCACCGGTTAGCCCCAGCGTGTCCAACACCTACGCCGTGGAGATCAAGGAGAGCGCCTGGCAGCGAACGGACGGCCACTTTGCCGAGCGGCCGCACGTCCTGATGGCCCTCAGCGACATCAAGGCGATCTACATCAAGGCCACGTACACGACCAGCACCCAGGAGGGCTCCCTGCAGCAGGTCAGCCTCGACACGGCCACGGCCACCAATCTGGGCACCCAGCGCGCCGTCGAAGTGGAGCAGTGCCGCTGCCCGCCCGGCTACACCGGCCTCTCCTGCGAGACCTGCGCCCCCGGCTACCGACGCGACCCCGAGGAGGGCATCTACCTGGGCTTATGTGTGCCCTGCGAGTGCAACGGTCACTCCAATCAGTGCCACAGTGAGACCGGCGAGTGCCTCGTAAGTATCTCCCAATTGTCCTTCTGTCCCTGTCTATATCCTTGCCGTCTTTCCAGGATTGCGGACACAACACCGAGGGACCCAGCTGCGACCGCTGCCTGCCCGGCTATGTGGGCAATCCATCCCGCGGCACACCCTACGACTGCCAACCGGACGGCGGCTACGAGCCACCACGCCCGGATCCGGATGCAGGTAACCAGACCATTGGCGAGTGCACCGTCTACTGCCAGCCGGAGGGAACGACCACCTGCCGGGGCAACTACTGCCAGTGCAAGCAGAATGTGATCGGAGATCGGTGCGACCAGTGCCGTCCCGGAACCTACGGACTGTCCCAGCTGCATGCAGAGGGCTGCAAGGAGTGCTACTGCTCCGGCCTGACCAGCCAGTGCCGATCCGTGGAGCTGTACCGCCAACAGATACCCGAGGACTTCATCAGCAGCCCGCCCCTGCTGACCGACAGCCTGGGCGATGTCGTCGACACCCAGAACCTGGACTATGATGTGGCCCAGAACATGTACACCTACTCCTACCCCTCGTATACGGACAAGTACTGGAGCCTGCAAGGCCGTGTCCTGGGCAACCAGCTGCTCTCTTACGGCGGCCTGCTGCAGTACACCCTGCAAGTGAAGTCCTCCTCCGTCGCCAAGTACAAGCATGGTCAGGACGTGCTCCTGATTGGCAATGGCCTGGAATTGATTTGGTCGCGACCCGACGAAGACTCCGACAAGGTGGACTTCTCGGTGCGCCTGCACGAGGACGAGCGGTGGCAGCGACGGGAGGCCGGCTCGGTACGTCCCGCCACCCGGCAGGACTTTATGACCGTGCTGACCAACCTCGAGCACATTCTCATCTACGCCACGCCCATGGTGCCCACCGATAGGACATCGATCGGTAATGTCATCCTGGAGACAGCCTCCCAGACCCCTGCCGGCCCGGGAGCTCAATTCGCCACCGACATCGAGGTATGCCATTGCCCATCCGGCTACACCGGCAACTCGTGCGAGACCTGCGCCCCACTCCACTATCGCGACCAGAACGGCGCCTGTCGTCAGTGTCCTTGCGATGCTGCCAACAGTGTGTCCTGTGCCCTGACCAGCGGCAACTACGTCCAGTGCCAGTGCAAGCCGCACTGGAAGGGCGACCAATGCCGAGAGATCGGTAAGTGATAAAGTGATCTTAGGATACTCCCATCCAGTCCCAATCCCGATCCCCAACCCTCATTCCCCTGTATATATCAATGGCCTACTCGCCCCATTCCTGCATACCTGCCAGCTACATGGAATACTACATGTCCCAAAGTCCAGACTTCTCCAGGGTATACTGTATTCGTGTAGATGTGTGTGTGTATAACAGGCGGCAGGGGAAGCCTAAAGCTAAGCCTCTATCCACTATCCTTATAGACTATATATTGTTTATTTTCAAATATTCGCTCAGTTTCAGGTTTTAAAATTAAAAAAAAACAAAAACAAAAAAATCGTATAATTATCTTGATATACTTAGCGGATATTAACTTGGTCTGGTAGTTCAACCGACTAGATCAGCTCTTAACTATTTTTTACTTTTCTATTTTCTCTCGGACTTTGTTTTTGTGAATCCTCCCCCCCCTTAAACATAAACCTAAATTTTAACTGAAAATGCGATTACGAAACAAAATGTCGAGAAATACGAATTACGAAATGAACCAACAAACATCCCTCCATCCATCCACATTCTAGACACATCGCCCATTAACGAAGAACCGCCCAAGATATGTGATATAAGCAGGGGATTCTGTTGCAACGGCTTTCAGTTCGATATCGCGCCCAACGAGACAATCTCGTATAATGACACCCTCCAGATAATTAAGGGCAACAGAATCATAGGAAATATAACCAAGCTGCGCTCCGGCTGTCGTTCGCGAGGTTCGCTCCAGACACTCCATCCGAAACCGATCCACTGATCCACTACTGATCTACTGATCCCACCACGATATACCTTTTTTTTTCTCTCTCTTTTTCTATATCTCTCTCTTGACAATCTCAAGTCTCTCACACACACAAACGTTACAAAAAAAGTATCAGCACTACCTAAAACTCTAGAACTATAGAACTCTAATAGAACTATTTCCCAAACCCACCCAGTTTTTTTCATAGATCTGTGTATAAAGATGTGTGTCTCTGTGTGTGTAGCGCGAACTTAACTCGTATCTATATGTGATCTATAACCAAAAAAAACGTAGACCAATCGAACAAGAATCCTTTAACCGGGTTAGCTCTCTACCTCTACCACTCTCTAAACCTGTGTCTCTGATCTTCCGGTGATCTAAAAACCCACTTAGATAATATGTGTCTTAGTTATATATACTATATATTAGTAGTTGTTACTATTTGTTTTCTGTGTACCGGAAGCCGTATTTGAGCTTATGATCTCTGACCTTCTGCGTTTCAATTATTTACAGCCTAAGTTAAGACCTACAAAGCCACAAGATAGTTGGCTCAAGTAGATCTAGGCCCTACCTTTAGAACCTTAGAGATACTAACTCCATAGAACCTGCGGTCTTAGGTCCTAAACCTGTTGCTCTGTTAAGCTCTGGGTAGTGCGTTTCATAACCATAAGCACTGTAGAAAGGGCTGTTACCAGTACTAACTCTTTTGAAATCGATAAATCGATAGTTTCGATAAATACTTTTATTAACAATTGCATGCTTAATGTTTTTACTTTAAAATGTATGATATTCCAGTCATTTTTCCAATGATGTCTTTGTACAAATTTGTTCACCGATATATATCGATTATTTCGATAGACCTTAAGGGTTCTGAAACGCACTGACTCTTTTCAAATAATTTGTATATTTGTTCACCTCCTACCGTGTGGCCTAACCCCCCTTTCTGGAGATCCATCCAGAATCCAGAACCTGACTCTGCCTCCGTAGTCCGTTGCCTAAACTTTGACCTCCGAGTCCTCCGAGGATCTCCGGAGAATCTTCATTAAACCGCAACCAGTGTCACTAACCCCCCACCACAACTATTATACACCGTACTCACACACACACCTGTTCCGTGGGGGCTGTCGACTCTCCGCTGAATAATCTCTATCTCGCCCTGTTGCTCACCAATAGACAACAATGACGATGACTACTCGGGTACGACTCGCTCGCCGGACGTAGAAGACCCCGTCCACACCCAGATCATTGTGTCGATTGCCAAGCCCCAGATCACCATTATCCCGGTCGGAGGCTCCTTGACTCTCACTTGCAGTGGTTACATGCGCTGGAGCAATGTAAGATATCATGGAAGACAACAGCTTCATCATCCTCTACTAAATACTAAATATCCTTTGAAATGTCCTTTAGGCCCCTGTGTTTGTTAACTGGTACAAGCAGAACAGTCGCCTGCCCCTGGGAGCCGAAGTGGATGGCGGAGATCTTTACCTCCACAACCTGCAGATCCATGACTCTGGTGTCTACATCTGTCAGGCCGTCAACAACGAGACTGCACGAGTCTTCGAGGACACCGTTTCCATCACCATTTCCAGTAAGTCTTTCAACTTAGATCCTTTTTTTTTGAATCCTTCTTTAAAATTCACCTTGAAACCTTTTTAAAAATGCGGCATTTAAAGGATATGCCAAAGCCATGTTGGCTAGATACGGTATAAGATAGATCCCTATGGCTAAGGATATGCATTATCCCTCTAATGATACTATATTCTCTCCCCCCACACAGCCCACGACCAACGCTCTCCGGCCCAGGTTGTTAGCCTGCCCCAGACCGTGACCTTCGAGGAGTACCAGACCAACCAGATCATCTGCGAGGTGGAGGGCAATCCCACGCCGACCATCACCTGGACGCGTGTGGATGGCCAGGCCGATGCCTACAGCACCCGCACTCAGGGCAACCGACTGATCTTCGATTCGCCCAGGAAGTCGGACGAGGGACGCTACCGCTGCCAGGCCGACAACGAGCTGAGCCGCGACGAGAAGTACGTCCATGTCTATGTCCAGAGCAACGCCCCGCATCCACCTCCGGCCCCCGATCGCTTGTACATCACCCCGGAGGAGTTCAACGGCGTGGCTGGCGAAACCATCCGGCTGACGTGCTCCTCCACGAGCGACGCCCGCCTGCGCTACGATTGGAACCACGACGGCTATCCGCTCAGCTCGTCCGGAGCCCGCAACGTCATCGTCAACGACAACTACCTGGAGGTGAGGGACGCCACTGCCCGGGACTCGGGCATCTACACCTGCTTGGCCTATGATCCTCGCACTCGTCGCAACTTCACCGTGGATGCTCGCGTCAATATCGAGAGCCGCGACCAGCCGCCAATCGATGATGGGTATGTCGGGTGGACACTCTTGAAGGGCCTTCTTGAAACTCATTCCTTGCATCCCACAGAGCTAGTCCCGTGATTACGCCGTTGCAGCAACAGATCCTCATTTTCCAAGGACGCGACCACAGTATCACCTGCGAGGCCAACGGCACACCCTATCCCTCCATCAAGTGGACCAAGGTGCATGCCCAGCTGGCCAACAACGTCCGCATCAGCGGCAACATCCTGACCATCTACGGTGCCCGCCAGGAGAACATTGGTCTCTACACCTGTATTGCCGAGAACGCCAATGGCTCCGATCAGTCCAGCACCTATATCGACATTGAACGTAAGTCTTAGTAGGTCCAGGATCCAAGTCTTAGAAGACGTGCCTCTCAGTAGTAGAGTTCTCTTAGCTAACCATACTTCTTGCTCTATCTCGTCCTGTTGTTGTCTCTCTCCCTGACACACACACACACTGATTATTTTTTTCAATTAATTTTAAACATAATTTTAAACATAATTTAAAAAAAAAACTTAACTAAACGTTTGCCATGCAAGTGCACAAGAGTGGAGTCGGTAATAAGATAGGTCCGCACAGTCTGATCCTAATACTAATCGGTGCCACCACCATCGTTTGCTTGCTTGCAGCTCGGGAGGCGCCGAGCGTTAAGATAGATCTGCCCCAGCAGACCCAGACGGTGGGCGGCCAGGTGGCGCTCTACTGTACCGCCTTTGGCATACCCCAGCCCCAAGTGGAATGGGTGCGCGTTGACGGAGTACCCCTATCGCCGCGCCACAAGGCCGAGGCTCCTGGCTATGTCGTGTAAGTACCTACATACATATATCCTTCCACCTCCCTCAAGACTTACTGATTATCCTTTTGTTTGCGGACAGGATCAATGATGTTCTCGTGTCGGATGCTGGGGACTATCAGTGCGTGGCCAAGAACGAAGTGGGCGAGGCCAGTGGTGTTGCCAACATCCGCATCATTGAGCGACCAATTGTTCAGATCACGCCCAGCAACAATGTCATTAGCCTCACCGAGGGCGATGAGCTCCAGCTGACCTGCGTGGGCAGCGGCTATCCCAGTCCCGTGGTCGAGTGGAGCCAGCCCAACGTCCTGAAGAACGTTCGCAACCAACAGGATCCTGCCAGCAACACCGCCTACCTGAGGATCTATCGCGTTACCCAGGCCGATGCTGGATTCTATACTTGCACCGGAAAAAACGAGGCCGACACCGACCAGGCCACCATTCGCGTGGACGTTCGCCCCAAGCGTGGTGACATCGGAATAGGCGATCCCGACTCGGACACCTACGAACCGCCGCCAAGGCCCTACGACCCACAAGGATCCTACGAGGGCAGCCAACTCCGACTCCCCACCAGCTTCGGCACCAACATCACCCTCACCTGCAACATCTCCGACCACCTGACCCCGCAGTGGGAGCGCGCCGACGGCACCGCCCTGCCCTCCAACGCCTTCATCAATCAGAACAAACTCGAGATCATTTACGTCCAGCAGGAGAACCTCGGCCAGTACCGATGCAACGGACTCGACCCCTACGGCCGCGTTGAAACGTATGTGGTGCGGGAGGTGGTGTACCTGCCCCTGCCCGAGATCGTGTTCTATCCGCAGATACCGCGCAGTGTGGAGACCGGTAGCCACCTATATATCGACTGTCAGGTGAAGAATGCCCGCAAGGAGGACATCTACTGGGCCACCGACAACAACCGGCCACTATCGAACACCGTACAGATCGACGGCACTGTCCTTCACTTCATTTCCATTGCACCGGCAGATGCCGGCGGCTATCGATGCACTGCCTCTAACCAGTACGGCAACACTACCAAGACCGCCCAGGTGGTGGTCAAGCAGCCGACGATCTTCAAGCCGGTGCCCCATACGCAGGTCCATCAGCACCCCGAGGGCGACAGCATCAAACTGAGCTGCAGTGCCACCACAGCCTACGGTGAAGTTCGCAACAATGTTCAGGTGAGTGGTCAGATCTTCTCTTTTCTACAAGATGTGGGCAGGGATATGATAGAGTTTAAGGACGACTTATGACAGACTGACTGAATACCCCCCACAAGTAACTACCTTAAGCCTGACACGCCCTTTGACCTTTGACCAAATACAGTTCCAATGGTACCGTGAGGACGGAAGCGAATTGCCGCGCGGCGCCCACCCCAACAGCCAGGTGCTGGTACTGACCGCCCTCCGGCCGGAGGATCAGGGCCGCTACATCTGCAACACCTACGACCTGGCCAGCAGGCAGCACCTGCCACCGACCTACGTCGACTTGCAAGTCATAAGTGAGTAATCGCCACCCCCCGGTGTTAGCCTGATCAGCTCCAGCTCAGAGGTGGAGCCGGATCCGGATCCGGATCCGCAGCAGTTAACTTTATCTCCTATATCCACAACCCCGAAACTTTCCCCAAAAAAAAAATATATCCTTGATAGGCCAACACACCCGAGCATAACGAGAAAGTAAAAAAAAATTTATAAGAAGAAAAAAATCACAAAAAAAAAAAAATTCCAGAAAAATAATATGATATTTTTAAGATTAATGAAGGAAGAATTATCAAGTTTAATGTCAAGGATTAGGCTTTTGTTAAGCAGGTTTGATCGTTCGCTGATTTTACTAATTCCCCCCCACCACTCCACTTTTCAAACAAAACATATATGAATGAATACGTCTCCTTATATATACAAAACAATATACATACTATATATATATATATATAATTACATCAATGTACTCGTAACCGGCCATAAGATATACTACATTCCACAATCCAGAAAACCCTAAAGTGGATGAACTAAACAACCAAAAATCTGTAAATATACGCAAAACGGATATTGTCATACTGTACAGGGGGGGGGGGGGCCAAAACAAATGTTCGTATATGTATGTTACGTACTGTAGGGAGCGGTTGCAGGGTACAACGATCACACACTGTATATAACAAAAAAAAAACAAAAAAAATTAAATGCCAGACAATAAAAAATATAAAAATTAATACTTTGGTGATGGAGCCAAAAATGGCGAAGCTCTTGATTATGTACAGTTGCCGCCATAAAAATAAAATACCTTCCACCATGTGTACAGTCACTGCATGCCGACAAAGTCCGAATCTGTCTAAAAAAAAAAAACTAATTTTCAATTTTCATTCATTTTTTTTTTTTGTAAACAATTTGAAATTTTTTTAGAAACCTAAGCGCACTCTCTATATATAGTATATATGCTATATATGTACGACCATTTTTTAAACTTGATAAATCTTAAGCTTACCAAAATGGCTGCCAAACAAACATTTCTAATACGATAACTTTAAGTACATCCACTAAAAGTGAGAAATAAAATATAATATTAACATTAAAAACTACTTGCACTACGAAACGTGTAAAGCAAACAATTGTAATATATTCTTTTTATTTCAAAAAAAAAAGAGAGTTCTAGAATCAAGATTAATATTTAAAAAAAATATATATATTCTAGAACTTTTTTTTGAGAAAAACTTTGGTTCACCGAGTTTGGCTTTCCTGTTTTTATTTTCTTAAATTAACACCCTAAACCCCTCATTTGGTGCTGGCTGTTACTTTTAGCTTACTATTGACTGTTTCTCCCGGTGTATGTTTTATTATATATACATATATATTTAAATTATTTATCATTTATGGTTTTTGGTTACCAATTGTTTGTGTTTTTGTGTGTCTCAATAAGTGTTATACCAAGTCATTATATTTTAAATTTAAGCACTGCACAGTCTCTGATTTTAATAGTTTGTTTCCACTGAGAAAAAAAAATGATGGGTTTTCTAATTGGCTTTGTGAGCAGTGAAGACAAGCTTTGAATTCTCTCTTCAAACTACGCACCTACACTGCAAAAAAAATTAAACAAATCAAGCACAATTAATATGTAAATAATTGTTTTCAGGTTTCAGAATCAGTTAAAATCAGTTAGGGATCGAAAAATTAAAGAGTTATATATTTATTTTTCTAGACTTTTGATTTAAAAAAAAAAACAGAAAACACTTTAATTAATTTCATATTTATTTCTTTCTCTCTCACGCTTTTCTCTCTCTCTCTCTCTTCCACTTTTTTACATGTGCGCTTGTGTTGAAAAAAAAAAATTATTGTTTTTTTACAAAATTTTTTACTTTTTGAATTTGAATTGACTTGAAACACTGTTTTTATGGTTTTTATACAAACAAAAAAAAAAAAACAAAATATTAAACACAAAACACAAACATATTGTATGGTGCTAAAAAAAAACAAAAAAACACTGAAAAAAAAACAACCCATCGCAACAACGAAACTACGACTACTACTACACTCTAGGAATTAATATGAATCGGCTGAGCGGCTTCAGCCCGAAAGACACGCCCTGCATGGTTTTGTATATTTGTGGTGCGTTTCAGCCCCCGAGGCGGCCCCATCTAAATCAAATCTAGTTCTAAGTTCCACGAGCAGCGATCCTTGAGTTTAAATAACCTTTTATTTCATTATTATTATTATTTGATATATATTTTTGGTTTTAAGGGGTTATATATGCGCTTACTGAGACTTCAAAGATGTATAACCCCTTGTTTTTTTTTTTATATTTGTTTTATTTTTTTTTAAATTATTATTAAACTAATGATCTTTTTTGAAACTGTATTATTTACTGCCTAACCCTAGAGTCCTAGAAATTTGTTAATTAAAACCAAAACACAAATAAAAGAATACTTTGTACAAAATCCCGCCCCGCCATTTAGAAGAGCACAACTCCCCTGGCATGCCTGGTACTCTAATATAACCCGAACCCGAATATATAGTTAACAGATACCCTTAAGATCTCCTAATATATAATAGTATTGGTTATTGGAGCTATTGAGTATTATTATTAACCCAAAGGGCTTCAGGAGTGCCAGATTATATGCTAATCGTTGTTTTTTACTATACCGAACCATGAATGAAAATAATCAAAAAAAAATATATATAAAATGGGAAAAAATAAAACCATAAATCAGACTTCAAGAGCAGTAGTAGTAGCAACAAGCTGTCGTCGGGCAAGTCGGCGACCCCACCACGACCCTCGATCGTGTCCTACGCCTGCCAGCCCACGGACTTCAAGTGCGTCTCCCATCCGCACACCTGTGTCAAGGCCAGCATGGTGTGTGACGGCATCTACGACTGTACGGATCACTCGGATGAGTTCAATTGCATCGTTGGCGGCAAGTCGGGTGGATCCCGGACGGAGAAGGGATCGGGAAACTTTAAGCGCTGGAAGAAGAACCGGAAACCGGGCCAGATCGGAAGGACTCTGAGGAAGCGTCATCTTGGAGAGCTAGCCGGAAGGAGCTTCGGTTGGTCCCTCATCTTTTCTCTCTAAACACCCCCGACCTGGTTTCTGTTCTATAATTCCCCAATCCTGCCCCTCTATATCCTTCAAGTCCTCTTACCCACTTTCTATCAAAACTTTCCTCTTGCTATCTAATGCTCGTGGGTGCACCGAACGATTGTAATTGGCACTCAAAAGCAAAACTATTATCGATAACCGACCAGCGATAACCGATCAACCAGCACCAGCAACGAACCAAATGCCGAGACCATATGGATATTGTAGCCAACGCACGCACTCCAAGGGGTTTTTTCAGTAGCCTAGCCAAAGATATAACCCACCAAGATACCAAAGCAACTCTTCTAGAATCTATAACTATGTATAACCTAAGAAACGGTAAAAATAACCGATAACCGATAACAAAAGCTCGTAGCAGGTTATATGGAAATACAATAATGTTAAGGTGCATGTGGTTAGCTTTAAACAGTCACTAACAAGTTAGTTCAACGAAATTATTGTGAATAACAGAACTACACACACAAACACACACACACACACCCATAAAGATAAACATTCATTCGATAAACGATAGTTAAGTAACCGCCATTTTGTATAAAACCGTAGTTGTATCGATAGAACTCTATGTCTGTATGGTATATTTGTGATCATATATATTTGTGCTCAAACCCAAAACCAACCGATAAAAAACATGCGAAATTATAGTGGTAACCCTTAAGACCTAAAAATAATTAGACTTGTAGAACTCAAACCCCCCCAAAAGATGATATGAAAAAGAACAAACCCCATTCGTAACCTCACATATAAACGTATTCTGTGTGATTCGAACCAGTAGTATACCAGTATTGAGTAAATGTAGCTCCACCTCACCTTAAAAAAACCATATTTGGTTTAAAATCAAATCACTTAGATCCCTCCCTAGATCTGTCTCTATCTGTTACTCTCTGTGTATATCGTATATCGTATATCTTATATGTATTGTCTAACTAGGAACCCAAAATTCTAAAACAAAACAACTAAAAACATGACCACAAAGGCAATATGAATCGAATTATGAATGATTTTCTATCGAAAACTGATATATTTATTGAAATTTTATAATCGATATAGTCGATAATCGATTAATTCGATAAGTAGTGCCTTCTTTCTGTTTCTGATTCTCCATTTTTGACTTGTAATATTGCTAACTGTTTTTCTCTCTCTGTGTATTTTTTACTATCTTATTTCCATTACCATTCCACCATACAAACACAAACACACACACACTGACACACACATATATATACAAACACACACATGCACACACTCTCACACACACACACACACAACGGAATACATGCACCTTGCACTTGTGAATTGTCGCTCTCTTGTGATCGTTACCGCCGACCATCCGATCCTTCGTCCTTGTCGCCTTGTCGCCTTGTGTCCTGTGTGTGTCCTGGTTCCGGGTGATTGCAGCTGGCGGCAGTCTCGTGCAGCCTCCGCCGTCTCCGTACATCCCCACCTACCTGCCGCCGCCGACGACAAGGACACCGCCCCGGGATTACCGCCTGAAACTGGACCAGCAGTCATCCAATCTCCATGCCGGCGAGTCCACCGAGGTGGAGTGCTCCTCTACGGAGAACACCTACACGGACGTCGTCTGGGAGAGGGCCGATGGTGCTCCACTTGGCCCCAACGTTAGGGTGAGTCTCTATCTTGGAATCCATCCCCCCAATCCTTTACTGATTGTGGATCCTTGCAGCAAGCGGGTAACCTGCTGATCTTCAACGAGGTCGTCGCCGCCGATGCTGGCAAGTACGTGTGCAAGTGCCGCACGGACGAGGGAGAACTCTACACCACCAGCTACGAGCTGAATGTGGAGGACCAGCCCCATGAGCTGAAGAGCTCCAAGATCGTCCATGCCCCCGTCGGCGGAGACGCGAACCTGCAGTGCGGAGCCGACGAGAGCCGGCAGCCCACCTACCGCTGGTCCCGCCAGTACGGACAACTCCAACCCGGACGCAGTCTCACCGAGGTAACCACGGAGATTGGATCTGTATTGGATTTTTTCTAATCCTTGGAACCATTCCTTTCCAGAACAAACTATCCCTGGACGGCCTTCAAGCCAACGATGCCGGAACCTACATCTGCTCGGCTTCCTATCGGGATGGCGAGACCGTGGACTTCCCCAGCATCCTGGTGGTGACCGGCGCCATACCCCAGTTCCGCCAGGAGCCGCGCAGCTACATGAGCTTCCCCACCCTGCCCGACTCCTCCTTCAAGTTCAACTTCGAGCTGACCTTCCGGCCGGAGACTGGCGACGGCCTGCTCCTCTTCAACGGCCAGACGCGTGGAAGCGGCGACTACATCGCCCTATCGCTGAAGGATCGCTATGCGGAGTTCCGCTTCGACTTCGGAGGCAAGCCGCTGCTGGTGCGAGCGGAGGAGCCGCTGGCCCTCAACGAGTGGCACACAGTTCGGGTGCATCGCTCCCGTCGCGACGGATACATCCAGGTGGACGAACAGCATCCGGTGGCCTTCCCCACGCTATCCCAGACCCCGCAACTGGACCTGATCGAGGACCTGTATCTGGGCGGAGTGCCCAACTGGGAGCTGCTGCCCGCCGATGCTGTCACCCAGCAGACCGGATTCGTCGGCTGCATCAGCCGGCTGACGCTGCAGGGACGCACCGTGGAGCTGATGCGCGAGGCCAAGTTCAAGGAGGGCATCTCCGACTGCCGCCCCTGCGCCCAGCGCCCCTGCTCCAACGGAGGTGTGTGTCTGGAGAGCCAGTCCGAGCAGGCCTACACCTGTGTCTGCCAGCCGGGCTGGACGGGCAGGGACTGCACCGTCGAGGGCACCCAGTGCACGCCCGGAGTCTGCGGCACGGGCCGATGCGAGAACACGGAACTGGACATGGAGTGCCTGTGCCCTCTGAACCGGACAGGTGACCGTTGCCAGTACATCGAGCACCTGAACGAGCAGAGCCTGAACTTCAAGAGGAACAGCTATGCGGCCTATGGGTGAGTTGTAAAATATAGCATACTTTTATGGGCTCTGTCTTGAACTTCCCTCCTCTCTTCCCCCTAGAACTCCTCGTGTCACCCGGGTGAACGTTACCCTCTCCGTGCGCCCTTCGAGCCTCCGCGACTCCGTGATCCTGTACGCGGCAGAGTCGCGCCTGCCCAGCGGCGACTATCTGGCTCTGGTGCTGCGCGGCGGTCACGTGGAGCTCCTCATCAACACGGCCGCTCGCCTGGAACCGGTGGTGGTGCGCTCGACGGAGCCACTGCCTCTGCACCGCTGGACCCGCATCGAGGTGCTGCGCCGACAGGGCGAGAGCATCCTGCGAGTGGGCGATGCCCCAGAACGCAAGGCCAAGGCTCCGGGCGCGGCCAGAACTCTGTCGCTGAAGACGCCACTCTTCGTGGGCGGCTACGATCGGGCCACGGTGAAGATCAACCGGGATGTGAACATCACAGACGGCTTCGATGGCTGCATTTCAAGGCTGTACGAGTCGACGAGGTCCGTGAAGCTCCTGGCGGACATCACGGATGCGGCCAACATCCAGAACTGCGGCGAGCTGAACGAGATTAGTGAGGATGCGGACGACCTGCCCGTACCACCGCCACCATCGCCAGTCGAAACACCATCCGGAGGCGGAAGCGGTGGCGAACTGGAGCCCTATGCCATGGCGCCATGTGCCAACGATCCCTGCGAGAATGGCGGCAGCTGCAGCGAACAGGACGAGGAGGCTGTCTGCTCCTGCCTGGTGGGCTTCAGTGGCAAGCACTGCCAAGAACGTGAGTATCTCTTAATCTTCTGATGAGTTATAGAAACTAATCTCTCCACAAATATCCTTGACAGACATCCAAATTGGCTTTAATGCCTCGTTCCGCGGCAATGGCTACCTGGAAATCAATCGCAACCAGTTCAATGCCGATGTGGAGCAGCAGTTCACCTCCGCTGTGGTCGTCTTCACCACCACCGAGCCCAATGGCTTGCTGTTATGGTGGGGCCAGAAGGCTGGCGTGGAATACACCGGACAGGACTTTATAGCCCTTGCCGTGGTCGATGGCTATGTGGAGTTCAACCTCCGGCTCGATGGCGAGGAGGCGGTGATCCGCAACAGTGACACCCGGGTGGATGATGGCAACCGTCATATTGTGATTGTGAAGCGAAATGAGAATACGGCCATCCTGGAGGTCGATCGAATTCTGCATTCTGGTGAAACGCGACCGACTGCCAAGAAGGAGATGAAACTGCCGGGTCATGTGTTCATCGGTAAGTCCCTCCCATCTATTTATAGTGTTCTATATCTAATTTGGATGGTAATCCTAGGTGGCATTCCGAATATTGCACAATTTACGGGCGAACGGTTCTTGCACAACTTTAACGGTTGCATCGTGGTCGTCGAGGGCGATGCCTCGGGTCAAATCAACCTGGGTCCTTCGGCCATCAGTGGGGTCAACGTCAACACCTGTCCCATGTAAGTAGCCTTCTCTAATATGATATATATCTATTCTATCTAGACTTCTATCTGTAATGCTGCCCATCTGGAATCTATAGTCTGTGGAATGCCTCTAGTCTGGTCCATCAGGAATTGGGTGAACGTTCTGATCTTAGTTTCTTTGACGAACTGGATCAACCGCCGCCGGTTCACATCCTTTATCCGCGTCCCAAAATAAGCGAATTTTCCACCAGTCCCGCCTATCGATCCGTTGTCTCCCTGTCCCTGGGGCTATCGATCTCCCTGTGTCTGCTCCCAGCACCCAGCTAAGCTTGTTGGGGATTCGTTGGACCAATCGATAGCCCTTCTTTAAGAGGTTCATTTCCTATACCTTAGCTCTCAGATATCGGTTGTATTGTTTGGATGTCATATATCAGCAATATCCACTTCAAAGCTATAAGCTTCTCCATATCTCCATATCGAAAGGATGTCATTGGCTATACCTAGTCTAGTACGTCATGGGGAGTGTTATAATTGGAATTATCGTGCCATATCATTGCAGAATATAGTGTTATAATATACAAAGTATAGTTAGAGCCGCAGAATATAGATAATCGGATTAAATATTAAGCCTGATCCTAAAGGATATTATTATAGGATACTAAGCGCGTGTTTTTTTTTCCATCATCGTCGTGGATAGTCAATTAGATAGCACCGGAATGGAACATATTGTTACAGATCTTACTATATATCTAGCATTAGACACTACTATTTGGATGGTTCACGTTTCGGAGTCAAGCTCAGGGCACACAACTCTCTACAGCTAACCGATGATCACAACAGTAACAATAACTATCTATATATAGTTAGTTAGATAGGCATATCCCCTCTATACCAAATAGGACATACATATCCTTGATGCCCACTCACTGATCCTGCGATACTGAAGCCCTAGCTCATTGTAGTCGAATCTTAAACTGCTTTATCGAAAAATATAAAAATATATTATATTATGAATATTGAAATATATATGATAGCTATTATAGAGTGCAGTGCGTTTCAGGACTGTAAGGTTATCGATTTGTTGACCGATCTCACCTAAATCTCTCAATTATTTTAGCTAAATGTAAATCTTTAAACGGAATCCCCAAATTCAGGTCCTAAAACGTACAGTGCTCGCATGTATCCCCATAAACGATTATATAAGAGTTTATACAAAGTCCCTATATACATATATCATAAGTGTATACAAATATTTAATCAATTCTTTTTTTTTTAAACAAAAATACAAAAAAATACGTAATACCGATCGATGGGGAGAATCGAAAGCTCTTCGAGTTGAGACAAAGTCTGAAATAGCAAGTTGGCAGGGCTCTTAACCAACACTAGCAGATCCTTATTTTAACCAGCACTGGCCAACAGAATGTACCCTTTTTAATACTTGTGTTTTTAAAGTATTTTATAATTATGATTTATTATTTTATTTTATTTTATGATTTATATTTTGATTTTTTTTCATAAAAACTTTCGTTTAGTGACGATGGGTCCCTGGAAGGAACCGAACCGCCAGTCGTCTGAGGACACACCAGCAATCGAAATTAGCTTTTTAATTAATTAACAATAACACTAAAAATACAAAAACAAAAAACACACACAAAAAAAAAAATTAAGAAACCATTTTTATATATAAAAATATATGATTAAGCAATATATGGCATGAAAAGTGTGAAAAAAAAACGATCACTTCTACTACAATTGCTTCTTCGATCCTTAAGGCCAAGTTAAAGATTGTAGCAAGAGATATCCCAAATCTTTTATTTTTAATTTTTTTAACAACCAAATGAAATGAAATGAAATAAAAAAAAATAAAAATTAAGAAAGCCATGCAGAAGTGAAACGAAACAGTAACAATAATGCAAATATAATGTCTAGAACCCTAAGAACTAACTAAACTAACTCGAAACAACAACAACAACAAGAAAATACAAACAACAACAACGCATACTAGCCAACAACTGCAACCACACAACAACAACAACACCAACAACAACAGCAAAAAGCAATTAATGCTCAATAGTAAAGGCATTTTAATTATAATTTTAGTTTCTAGCTTTTAACTATAACTATGACTATTATTATTTTTTTTTTCGTGAAAACCCAGTGTAAAATAATTGAAAATGAAATTGGTTCACACCCCCACACACAAACACACACATACACACAAACAAATACACATACATATGTTATGGAATAAATATTAAATATTAAAATTGATATAAAAATGCAACTATTGTGAACGAACGAAAAACTGTTGAGTGGATTAAAAAAAAAAAAGCAAAAAAGCAAGCAGAAAATAAATGGAAATCAACAACAAATGTTTTATTGGCACTTGTTTCATTTTTTGGATGTAATACTGTAATAAGGTGAGTTTTCAGAACACATGTTTCGATTTTGGGGACTGGGGGAGGGCTGGAGAGCGTGGGAAGCTCGAATTTATCAAATTACAACTATTGTTGAAACAGAGTAACTGTTAAGGGAAGCCCTTGGCACGGGGCAGAGAGAGAGTGCAATGGTGGAGAGTCACCCACAGTGCGCGCTCAGCTTCCAAAGCTCTCTGCTCTCTCTCTCTCTTGCAATGCACTTTATGCGAGATGGATCCAATGTACAGTGGGAGCAGAGAAGAAAACGCTAGCTCTTAATATATATATTAAAAAATATATAAAATTTATTAAATATATATATTTTATTAAAATATATTATAGTACCTTTACCATGTCACAGCTTCTCTCCCCTCTTGACTCTCTTGACTTTTTTGCCCAGGTGCTTCGGTACCTTGCCCATCGTGTACTTCGGCTGGGGCTCGGCCCTCTTCGGCCCGGCTGGACTGCAGCAGCAGCAGCAGCAGCCGCAGCAGCAACACGGTGGTCTGGCGCTCAGTTCAGTTCACTGCGAAACGTTGAGCGAATCGGACGTGCGATCGGAAGTTGTGTGCGCTGGAAATTCAATAACTGTTTGGCGCCCTCGTCGTGTTAATTGCTACCTTTATTTATTTACGCGTATTGTTTTTTTTTCTTGTGTGTTGACTGTTTTTCTAAAAAAACAAAAAACAAACCAGTGAGTTAGTTTTGTATATCTATCCGGGTTTTGTTTAACGAAAGATTCTCGAAATTCGTGCCATCGCCGAGAAAAGTGCGTGTGCCAAGTTTTGTTTTTATTTTTAAAACGGCAACCGGCGAAACTGACACAAGCGCCGTTCGTCGTTCCCTACATAAATAAAAATAAAAATAAAAATAAAATAAATACAAACACCTAATAACAATAAATTATGGCCGGTCAGGGGCGGCACATCAATAATTTTTCTATTTGACCCAAAATCGAGGAAATAGGAAATATATTTTAGTTTCGACCCAAAAAATGAAAAAAAATCGAAGATCGCATATCGAATATCGCATATTGACCGGCAAGGCAGGCGGAGAGGCCGGGAGGACAGGGGAGGCCGGGCTGGCGGATGTGACTAAGAGCCAGAAATTCAATTTAAAACCGATGCCCCGGATCTCCCTTTTAGCCTCTTCCACGTGTACTTTAGTGTGTGTGTGTGTGTGTGTTTGAAAGGCTTTAAAAATGCTATAAAATTTTAATAGGTTTATTTTATTTGGCTTGCCTTTCCTTCAGTGACTATTTGGACTCTATTTGTTTTCTTTCGGATTTGTGTTTTTTTTTTATTTTTTTTTATATAGTTTAGTTTGTCGGTTGATGGGAAAAAATCGCAAGAATGTTGTGTTTAGTGATCAAAATCTAATCAAAATATTTACCGTTCGTTTAGAGAGAAAAGAAGCAGAAAACCAGAGAGAGAAAGAGGAGAAGGTGGAGAGATTTAAAGCCGAGGATTACGTATCTGGGACGGCTGGCTGCCCTTCTGAATAAATCGCAGCATCTGTTGCACAGGTGAGTCTAGTTAACGGTAAACGGTGGCAGCTCGAAAGTAGTTCATCTGGTCAGTGTTGGCCATAAATGTCCCATACCCCGGACTGCCATCCGACTGCCCATATCGATCGATTCCAGTTGACAAGTTTTGCCCGATGGCCGATGTGGTTATGTCCTTTTTTGGGCTGCAAGTGGCTACCGATGGCCGCTGGCCGATGGCCAATTGCCAATTGCCGTTACTTTATGTGTCAGCAGCAGCAACAGCAGCAGCAACAAGTGTTGCACATTACATATAGCACAGACACAAACCCGTCGATCATGGGATGGATTTGGGGTGGTGGAAAAGGGGAGCACATAGGCCCAGGTGGTGGGAGAGGTGAAATGTGGAGGCTATCCTTTATTCTCCCTTCATACGCTTGCTGATTAAATTCATGTAAGAGAGAGGAAGAGAGTTCTAGCATAAGGACTCTTTAGTTAGTGGTGGAAAAGGGGAGCACATAGGCCCAAGGTGGTGGGAGAGGCCAGGGAGAGGGAGATCGCTCTAGCATAAGGACTCTTTAGTTCTCACTAGCGAGGCTCACCTGTAGTTTTACGCACATTCTTCTAGACTTGTGAGAGAATGGAATGCAACAGGCAGCTGCTGCAGAACAAGATTACCTGGGAGAGAGGATACCACAGAGAGGAAGAGCAGAACCGGACCAAGAACCAAGGAGAGGAGGCTCATTCCCAATTCCCATTCCCAATTTCCCGCTAACAATAAATCAAAGCCAGAGAGAGGGGAAAAGCCCAACAACAATAAAAATCAAGGCAAGTGTCGTTCTTCTCAGAGATCCCGAGAATCAGAATGGGCAGAGTCCAGAGGTAGAGTCCAGAGGTAAGAGGTAGGCATAGCCTTTGTCTCGTCTGTTGATGGGATTTCATTATTACTTTCGATTGTGGCCCATTGAGACCTGGCTGGGTTCCCTTCTTTTCCTCTTCATCCAAAATGCAGACAAACAAAAAGGGTCTCTGGCTACAAACAAAAATAAACACACCAGAGAGCTGAGCTGAGCTGAGCAGAGCATCATCATCATCATCAGTTCTCATACTTGAATCCATATCCATTCTTATGGACATCCAGCGAGTCATCCTCCTTGGCTGCACTCTAATCGCATAAGCAGATAGACCCGGCCAGGTAGGTGGTGTAGGGAGTGGGGGGCTCTAGGCTCTGGACTCTGGGCCACACTGAAAGAAGGTTGAAAAATAAATAAAGCGATAAATGGAAAATAAATTTCAAAAAAATTGCTTTTCAAGTGGGCTCTAGAAGACCTCTCTTTTGTATCAGGACCCCCACCTAGATCAAGGTAACCTTACCTTCCCTAGACTCTGATCCGATCTTTAAGCTACCGATCTGAAACAGGTTCTTCTTCTTAGTTAGATCCTAACTTAATAATATACTTCCTATATCTATAATTTTCATGGCCAAAACCCCGCTCTACTGATCTAGTTCCTCAAATCTGATCTCCAGACCTCCTTCAATTCATAATGAGGAAAACAGACAGTGCATCATTTTCCATCAAAATTAGACATTGACACCCGGGCACCTCTTCTTTTTTTTTAATCTTTTTTTTTTATGGAATTCCAATTCCGAAACGGATTTGTTGGTTCCGTAAAAACGGCGCATAAAAATTATTTCACGCCACGCCGCATGCTCTCCAAAAATTATGATTAATGTTGAAAACATAAATTGGATTTGATTTTTGTTTGTTTGCCGCTTTCGTGAAGCTTTTTTTTTTTTGATTTTTTTTCTGATTTTTTTTGCTAGGTAGCCGCCGCCTGTTCATTAGCACAGACTAATCATTGGAGCACAAGAGGCTGCCGTGGGGCAGGAGAAACCCAAAAGAAACCTCAAAAAAAAATCAGAAAAAAAAACGAGATACAGGGGAGCCCCAAAGGTGGCAATCAACGTGAATGAATGAATGGCTGAACTCGTCTCTCGTCTCGAAGATCTTGTGAATGAGCCAGAGACCCAAAGACGGCATGAATGAGAGACATTATACCTTCATATATATAATATATATATATATATATATCTCTTGGCCTTTTTTTTTTTTGTGGCATCTTCCTTGTCCCTTTCCCGCCGGCGGAAGTGTAATTGCAGACCGAATTCCGATTCGGATTGGGAGTTAACTCTTTTTCGAGCGGCGCCTTTGCATCATTGGGAAATTAGCTCTACCCCTCCTCCCCTACCCCCCACCCCCCTTGGCAGACAAATGATGGCAGGGGCGAAGACCAAACCCAAACCCAAACCAGACCTGGCCAGAAGAAGACACAAATCCCAAAACGGAAGCGCATTACCAGAAGTACCCGCGTAATGTGATCACATATGTTCTTGGGTTCTCAGCCACGCCCACGACATCTTTTTGGAAAGGCTGAGGAGGTGGGTCTAATGGTTCCGAGGAGGCAGGGGCTACAGATTCAGCTGCAGCGGCTTATCATTCAAAAGATATCGGAGGGGCAGTAAGACCAGATCTCTTCCGAAATCCACCTTGATTTATTGAACTTCTAACTCGGCTTGAATTATGCCTTGGAATTCGAGTTAATCCACTTTGGTAGGGCTTTTCAGTTGGCCAAGATGCAGTACTGACTTAGGGGCTTAATCGGTAACTAGGCGGAAATTTCACAAAAATTCGAAAAAAATCTAATGGAAAATTTTATTATGAGATTTTGATGCAGAATTAAATTGAATATTCCTCTTCAGGATCGGATCAAAATTGGCCAAGATATAGCCTTCCCAAGGGGTCCAAAGTCACTCCCCACGGTTTTCCTCATTTTTCAAGGGGGTCCATCAGAAAAATTGGAAAAAATCGGACGGAAAATTATATTTGTAGATTTTGATGCAGGATTGTGGAGAATCATTCCAGAAATCGTTTGAGGTATTCCTCTCAAGGATCGGAAAACTATGGAGGTTATAGCCTTCCGAAGTGCCAAAAAAGTACTCCTCTGGGTATTCCACATTTTTTAAGAGAGTTCATCAGAAAATTTTGAAAAAATTGGATCGAAAATTATATTTTGAAATATTTTGATTGGTTATGGAGAATTAGTCTAGAAATCTTTTAAGGTATTCTGCTTAAGAATCGGATCAAAATTGGACAAGTTATAGCCTTCCCAATGGGTCAGAAGTCGATCCCCACGGTTTCTTCAACTTTTCAAAGGGGTCTATTAGAAAATTTTAAAAACAATGGGCCCAAAAATTTGGTTACCTGGTTTTGATGCAGATTTGTGGAGAATTGAACTACGAGTTCTTGGAGGTATTCCTTTTCAAGATCGGATGAGAACTCGCCGAGATAGAGTCCCGAAAGATTTAAAAATGGATTTTAAGGCAGATCCCATTTTAGCCAAGGGGGTCCATCACAAAAATTTAAAAAAAAATTGGATAAAAAATTGTATTCTAAGATTTAAATGTACTTTTTAGAGAATGAAGCTACGAGTCCTTAGAGGTATCCCATATCAGGATCGAATAGGTATTTTCTGAGTTAGACCCTTCAAAAGGAGTGGAATATGCATTTTCAGGCAGATCTCATATTTTTTCCAAGGGGGTCCATCAGAAAAATTCGAAAAAATCGAGCCAAAAATTATGTTTTGAAATTTTGATGCAGAATCATGGGGAATCTACCCAGCTATCTTTTGAGGTATTCCTCTCCAGGATCGGATCAAAATTGACCAAGATATACTTCCTCAAAGTGGAACAAAGTCACTTCCCAGGAACTTCCCCATTTTCAAGGGCTTCGCTTAAAAAAATCTATAGAAAATCGAATAAAATATTTGAAACCTACTTTTAAATGCAGAATCGTGGAGAATAAAGCTAAGATTCGTTTGAGATGCTCCGCTTGAAGATCGTCTGGGTCTGGGGCGAGATATGGAGATGGCGGGGAGCCACATGCTCTCCTAATTAATATTTTCGGGGCATCGCCAGAGCCCAGAAACAGAAGCCGACGAGTGGGCGTCTGGGATGTGACTGGTGGGCGGGGAGGGGGGCGTGGCGGGGTACAAAGACAGTAGCCCTACGTAGGTTGGGACGCTTATCGGGTTGGGACATCGTCGGGCCGTGACGATGACAACAACAACAACAGGAGCAACAACAAGAGTGACAACAGTGACGGCGACGGCGACAGCAATCAGAGCACTATGCGTCTGCGTCTGCGCGACAGCGACGGCAACCGAAAGAGATAGAGCTATATAGAGATGAAAGAGATGGGTAGGTAGCCAGACAGGAAGTTGGCTATTTGCACTCGAATCCCAAAACAAGTCATAATTTTTCGAAAACAGAGACGGACACGGTCGGTTACGTGGAATTCATGGTATCATCCTACTACTCCTCCGCCTCCTACTCCTCCTCCTCCTCCTCCTTTTCATTCTTGTGTTCCTTCTACGGCTTTATCACCTCATCTCCACCCCTCACCGCGATGACGGCGGCTATTCAGTATAGTTTTTTTTTTTTTTTTTTTGATAAAGTGGCTCGTCGCCGGGACGAGAGACATTTAATAAGCGACAATTTAGCGCTCAAGTCTGACATTGACACAGGTAGAGGAGGGATGGCCTGGCCCAGACAATGGCCCAGGCAGCCCAGGCAGGTAGCCCAGCTCTGGCCTCGGATGTGTAGTATCTTTAAAGGCCGATCTTCCCAAAAAAAGATCCGAGAATAGATCAGAGTTTGAATGAAAATCTGAATGAAAGTGGCCACTCATCAGTAAGCTCTGAAAGGGGGGGAAAAGCTCATCTATCTGATGGATTAGAATGTATCTTTCCCACACACAGACACCTGTTGGAACCTGGGGCGCCGATGATGTATTCATTTCCCACAAGCACTGTGAAAATATTGAATAATCGAACTAACTAAGCACCGAGTCGGAGTCCAGACCCTGCCTGGTACCCCCCCTAAGGGTTCAGCTCAGCATGCAGCTGTCAGCATTAGGAACGACCTCTCCTCCAGTCCAGTCCAGTTTGAGGTTGGAGGTTGGTGGCTTGGTGGCTTGTGAACT